CATGTAGTTGTACTATACTGGCTATTGCTACTAAGAGTTCATGCTAATGGCAAAAACACATTATATTGTCAATTTTTTTATCAAGAGCAAGTTAACGTGTCATGAGGTTAACATGAGGTTTAATACAGTATACCTTAATTTTAAGAATTGGCTGCACGACTCTTTCCGCAAGAACCATTCCCGTAAAATGACTTTTGACAAAACAAAATTGTAGTAAGAATGCAGCGACTCATTTCACAAAAAACTTACGAGAAAAAATACTCGTGCAAGTCATGAACATTTCAGCATAACTTACGATCAATTTTTGCTGTAAGATTTTTTTGTGAAAAGAGCCCCTGGAAAAAAACTCCATTTATATATTTTTCGATTAAAAAAATATTTAAAATTTCGAGTTGTGTAGTTTGAGAAGTTGTATTGTACAGTTATAGTTGTAATATCTTATTGACGAATATTATATTACATTTAGCATGTCTTGTGTGCCGAACTTCCAAAACGCAAAACCCCTGTGCTGCATGTGCATAAAAATCTTCATGTTACATTTCGCCAGGTCCTAAATTTTCACAGCATTGCAGTGTTTTCATTAGGGATCACTGTGTATCATCGCCACCGGAAATTGGGTACTAACGAAGCGGAGAGAAATGGAAAAAAAAGTAAACAAGGTAAGAATTAATTCAATTTAAAGCATTTCTACTGATTTGACGAGGGTACCGCTTAAGAAATGATTTTCTGATATATAATTCTTTAAATTATTAGTCCGATAAGTATAAAATTAAGACAAGATTTTGTGTTATACTCAAGAACTTGCCACTTAGTACCTGAAAATTTCGAGGTCGATCGTCCTCTGTCGCCCCATTGGCAAGATATTCAACTGTTTTTCATTATTTTTCCAGACACTTTTTTTAGATTGTTATAGTGTGGCATCATATTTACTGAAATTTGTTGTCAAAATGAACGTTTTTAAAGAATATAGACCATAAAAAATAAAGTCTAGGGTACGGCAACTTGCTCATGTTGACAAATTTACTGTATGGCAACTTGTTTTCAACTGAATGGCAACTTGCTAATTTCAAAATATTTATTTGCCGTCTTTTTAAAGAAAATAAAGTATTAGGTTCAAATATCTAATTATGCATTTGATAAAAATACAATTCGCTTGACACCATTTAAGATGTATACATAATATAAGGCTTGAACACAGTCCTATTACATCTTAAACATACCTGATGTATACAATATGAATACGGCATATACAAAAGCTGGCAAATGTTGTAACTTTCGGAAAGGCATGTCACTGTTTTACTGACCCGTTGTTCTGCCCTGACGTAGCGTTAAATGTTACCCATGTCCGTCCGACCCGTCTCTCCCGTCCGTTCAGAAAGTCCCAATAATTGGTTTCCGTTCTCTAACTTTAGTATGCCTTAACCAAATGTTTTAAAACTTACACGAAATGCTTATCACCACAAAACACAGACCAAGTTATAAATTGGGTAGCGTCACTGTTACCGTTCTTGAGTTATGCCCTTTTATAAATGAAAAAAAGGTAAAGCTGTCGCTTCTGTTCTCAAACTTTAGATTGCCTCAACCAAATGTTTTAACCATACAACATTAGTCAGCATTTGCATATAAGTGATGAACATTTCGGGGATGGGTTGTGGGTGGAGGGAAGGAAGGAGGTAATGGCAGGAAAAATTTTCCGCATTGAATATTTAGAACCATTAAGTGAATGAATTCTCTTTCAACTTTCAGATAAAATGAAATATAAATGAATTATCATTCTCTGCAAAAAAAAATGTTGTATTACTACACCACGGCACCATCTTAAGGGAGGTTTGAGTGCTCACAAACATGTTTAAGCCCGCCTCAATATATATGTGTCTGTCCCTAATCAGTAACATGTAATATAGCGGCTGTCGTAAGTTGCTGCCTGACATATTTGTTTATGATTTTGTCATAAATCAGGCAATTTTGATACGGTATGGGTTTTGTTCATTGTGAAGTGTATAGTAACCAATAGTTGGTCAAATCTATTTCATTTGGACTTTGTTTGAAAGTCCTCTCAGTGAAAACCATTCCACGTCTCCTTTTTCAATTAATGTTATTGTCTTATTTGTAAAAGGCAGATACAGCCAATATATTAGAATAAAGAACATTTATTTTCTAAAAATAACTTCATCTCTATATAGTAAGAAATGAACAAGCTCGGTGGCTAACACTGTTTAAATTAAAAAAAATATATTAACCTTAGATTAATCATTTTTGGAAAGAATGAAAGAAGAATCCGATACAAGGGATACAAATCCGGCTGTGGCTACGGCATAAACTATTTATATAAACTTTCTACTTGAGAATAAAGATGACCTTGTATGAAGTTTTTTTTGGTTGTCATCTTAATATTATATACTTATTAATACAATTCACAAAAGCTAGCATCTTCGACTTGTAAGTTTAAAGAATTATAATGAAATAACATCTAATAAGGACAGGTTGAAATATTTTTGAATCCTGATGGTGCATACTCATAAATTCTTTTGGAAAAATCCACGTAAATTTAAATGTTGATTTGATAGCGTTCATTTATTTATTTGCCCTCGTAAACAGTTTTGTTAAAATACCGAAAATCGTGAACGAATAAGTCGGGTACACCTTTTTACATTCAGGCGTGCTTAAGTTGCTCTTTTTTCTTCTTATTAAGAAAAATGATTTTAATTTTAGCATCTATCTGAAGATTAGATTATTTACACACACACAAAAATATGGGTTACTGTTGATTTTGAAACTCTATGAATTCACATTTATATTCAACCAAACAGATAGGCCGAGATCCATACTTTAATAAGTTTCAAAACAGAGAAGGTGTGTTTGAAAATAACTAATCACGTACTGCTATATCTTTTAAGGCAAATGCAAGTCTTACATGTATTAATTATATAATTTTAATTGGCACAATATCACATTAAAATTTACTGAGAAATATTATACATAGTAATCATGAAAATGTACTACTGTAACAATGAAAATTCGGATGAATACACTCCTTTTCACTACCCCTCCATCTACTCATTTAAGTTTAGGCCAAACAGTCTTAGCAACAGTCTTTTATTATTTTTTCAATAAGAAACAAGGAAATTAATTCGAAACACAATTCATGATTTATTTCTCCTAATTTTCAATGAAAACAAAGTATTTTCTTCACTTTTCTATTAACAAATTATTCATTTCAGAAATTTAAAAAATAAACAATAAACAATGTTGAAGACTGTACCTTGACCTATAATGGTTTACTTTTACTGTATAAATTGTGACTTGGATGGAGAGTTGTCTCATTGGCACGCATACCACATCTTCCTATGTCTATTTAACCCAGCACATTCTTTATGTGTCTGTCCGAAGCCACGAGCCTGTAGTTTGGTGCTTGTCGTTGGTTCATCTCTATCATATTTGTTATTTTTCGTAAATTGTTTTGTTATGAGTTAGGCCGTTAGTTTTCTTGTTGAATCCTTCCACAATTTTCATGTCGAGGCTTTTTCTAGCCGACTGTAAGGTACGATTTTTCGTTGTTGAAGGCCAACCGATAGCATATAATTGCTTACATACACTTTATTTGACCCTGGTGGATAGTTATCTTATTTGCAATCATACAACATCTCCACTGTTTATATTTAAAAAAAAAACAGCACCAACAAAAGATGAATGGTCGTTTTTTTTTTATTGAACTTACAAAATTTCACCCTGACAACAAATAAGACAACAGTCGTTAGAATTATAACGATATATGAATGTATTTAGGATAATATGGTTGAAAAAAACCTTTTTGTCTTTAAAAACACAAAGTCAAATAGAGGTATACGCAACGACGACTTCTGAACGAAATTAACGGCATATATTTTATAATATTTGATAAGTAGTTTATTTTGTATATTTGTAAGCCGGTAAAGCTTTGATACAGCCAACATTTCGTCACTTGATATTATTTAAACAGTGATTAATTTCATCTTTAAATTACAATATATTGCAAGACGCCGTACAGACAAAAGTTGTTATTTTGCAATTCGCCGTACAACGTCCTGCAATTCGCCGTACAATAAACAAACAATGTTTTGGTCCATATTCTTTAAAAACATCTTTATGACAACAGATTTCAGTCAATATGATGTCACACTATCATAATCTAAAAACGTGTCTGGAAAAATAATGAAAAACAGTTGAATATCTTGCCAATGGGGCGACAGAGGACAATCGACCTCGAAATTTTCAGGTTCTAAATGGCAAGCTTTGGAGTATAACACAAAATATTGTCTTAATTTTGTACTTATCGGCCTAATAATTTAAAGAATTATATATCAGAAAATCATTTCTTAAGCGGTACCCTCGTCAAATCAGTAGAAATGCTTTAAATTGAATGAATTCTTACCTTGTTTACTTTTTTTTCCATTTCTCTCCGCTTCGTTAGTACCCAATTTCCGGTGGCGATGATACACAGTGGGGATGTAAATGTTTGAACCGGTTTGAATATGCCATGTTTCCGGTTGAGATTACACAGTTGTACCCTATCCTTACAGTTAAGTCTATAGAACTCTCATCCCTTCCACAACACCACTTAGTTATAAATTTCAATATTCCATACACAAGGACAATATTCCGTACACAAGGCCAATATTTAATACACAAGGACAACATTCCATACACAAGGACAATATTCCATACACAAGGACAACATTCCATACACAAGGACAATATTCCGTACACAAGGCCAATATTCCATACACAAGGACAATATTCCGTACACAAGGCCAATATTTCATACACAAGGGCAATATTCCGTAATACAAGGACGAAAGATAAACATTCTGCAGAAAGAAGAGAAATAATAGAGAGATAAATTTAGTTGATATACACAACTAAATACATATATTTTCTTATCGTTCCGCTAGAATAGAATACACGGAATACCATAGCATATATAATACCAGTTTCTTACTATAAAAAGTCTCATTACTTACGTTTTTCAACTTTCATGGAATGTACTATCGACCGCGTCCGCCATCTTTTTGAACGCCTATAGTTGATCTGTTGTTCAGAATACGGGTAGCGACATGGTTTTATGGGTGAATAGGTTTTCATAATAGCGATCAAAAATAGTTGTAAAATATTTAAATGGAAAGGTATAAATAGGATAAAGGTAGTTGATTGAATGTTTTATGAAACAATAGATGAAGTAAATATTTAGACATTTTAGACAATTTGTTTCATGATTTTTTTATTTATTTTCTTGGCATATTTATTCTCATTGTTAAGTTCGAAACCGAGGTTATATATATTTTATTTTGTGTGGCTGCTTCTATCATCTATGAAGTGTATCTCTTTGTGCATACTATATCGATTTGATTTGATTTTGATTTTTGGTGTTTTAACTTCTTTTTTAAGCACCGCTTTTGGGCTATTTCGTGGCGGCCAGTTTTTATTGGTGGAGGAAGCCGGAGTGCCCGGAGAAAACCACTGACCTTCGATAGGAAAACTGACAATCCTAGTCAATTAAGATTGGAGTCATACTATATCGAAGATCAATAAATAAAACTATTCTGCATATTTTAACACGATTTTGACTTATGGATATATGAAAGAGTATTAAGTAATTAAATGATTCGCATTAGTGATTTTATTAATTGACATATCACTAGGATCGATAAAATGACATTGTAAATGTTAAATTCATCATGGATATATCAATTCAATTCAATTCTTTATTAACCAAATGTTTTACAAGACAAGACAAGACAAGACAAGACAAGACAATATTTTATTTAAGTCTCACCTCTTCATTATATAAAACATACAAATAGTTAATAAAACAACATCATAAAACATACAAGAGCCACTCTAAAAAGAGTTATGAGAGACTATCTAAAATGTATATACATTATTTACACTGAAATTAGCTATATAAAATACATTTTCTTTTCAATAAAATGTCATTGCAGATTTTGGCAGTATAAAAGTACATATTTTCATCTGTGAATAAAAATATAAATTTATCGTCATCAGACAATTGCATAAAATAACATTACAACATATAGGTACATGTATAATCAATATATACTAAATATAGATTACAAAAATATACGATCATGACAAAACAGACAGAAGTATTAAATACACAAAAAATAAATACTTATAAATATAATTCCAAAAAGCAAATATATGTAACAAATGAATTACAAATCAACTTACTGAAAACAGTCATTTCTGAGCTTCAGTACTCTAAATATATATTTTCCTTAGTTGCACAAGTCTAGGAATATATATAACCCATAGAGATAGATATAACTGGACCTTTTTAATAATCCATCTAATTGGCAGTGTTTGATTTAAAGTCGTGAAAGAGATTAGAGCAATGGGCGGATCCTTGCTTTTTTATCTTACTATAATAATAATTTACAAGATGCTGAGATGACCAAGTGTTGGTCGATGTTTCTCTGTTGCCGTAATACTCTATTTTCCGTTTGTTTGTTTGTTGATAAGATAAGATAATTTTATCAACCTATCATGGTGCCCAAAATTTGAGCTATACAATCAAATGAGTTACAAAATAAAGCACAGTAAATGATTAGAATGATCAGAATGATTAAAGTACAATTAAACAAAAACATGTATACACATTAAAACAAAGTAACATAATTATAAACCATGTTATTGACAAAACATTAAGTTATTTTGGAAGCCACTGTGACCTGGAGAAATTACATTTCTTAATCAATTTATAGCCCTAGGCCTATGGGAGACAACTCCTGATCGATTTTATTATTATTTTTTTCAATTTTTTCAAACAACATTGATATTTTCTAAGAGTTTCTTTCGTTCTTCAAAAAGGGAGTGCAATAATTTAGATAAGTTTGAAGTAACAAACAAATCTTCAGATGAAAGAATCCAAACAAATTTCATTAATCAGATAACTTAAAAATTTTTTTAATTTAGAATTTAAATTAGACAGATGTTGAGATCTTGTATCTTTAAGAACAGGACACTTTAAATGGAAATGTAAATATTGTATAATCGAAGATCATACATAATTCATGATTACAAAATCACATTGCTTCCTCCGGGACTCGAACCCCGGGCCTCTGTGTTCAAAGTCTGAGCTCTAACCGACTGAGTCAAAGAAATACTTCTCTATCGAAACCGCTTACGCCTAACTACGTATCTACTAGTCAAGGGAAACAATCCTGTCACAAGTATCCTTAGATTTTTAAGACCAACCTACCAGGCAAAAAACTCATTTAGATGGCATTATGTTGCTGGGATGCTGTATCATTAACATAGAATACATTCGCGCGATATCTTTTTGCGCCAAAAATGAACTCATTTGCGGCACAACTTATTTGCGCTAATGCTACTTCTGCGCCACTCCATTTTAAAAACTACAGGTATCATTTGTGCCAATAAAAAATCATCTAATTGCGCCAATTTAATGAATGTATTTATTTTTACTTATACTATATATATATATACATATATAATCTCAACTAAATGATTGACTTCCCTCCTCCTTTATCCGGGCTTGGGACCGTCAGTTTTCAAATTTTTCTTTTCTAAATGTTCTTCGTCAATTTTGAAGAGCTCTGAATTAATTATTTTAGAAGGTCGCTCAGATAACATATCAGTTGCTCTTTGTTTGCATGCTGTTCTCAAAATCTGTCTTTCTAGTTTCTGGGTATTATTTCCATGTATATGATTTAATTTCCCACTCAAAATAACTGTACAAGATTCATCTGTAAATAGCATAGCACAACACGACTTAACTGTAGGATAAGTGTATCTGTCATATGCCTTCTTAATTCGGGTAAAATTGAAGTCATTGAAAGCTCCATTTCTTTACATTTGGACTTCAAGATAAACGTTGTACTTGTTGAATAAATTATATATTGTTTTCAATGTTTTTGGTTTCATTCATTTAGATATTTATATAGCGCTTTTACATTTGGCATCCATTGTCTCCGTTTAAATCAGTTCACAAACTAGAACAAGCTTTTGGTCTGCATCCCCGAATCTCCAGCAGAATTGCTCCTGCTACACTTTCCTCTATTAAGAGAGTTAATGAACAGCTATATGTAAACAGATTAAATTACAAAAGTTTGCAAAACAGGATGACAAAATATAATATTACAATATGTACCATAACTATAGTTATGTAATCATATATTACCAAAGAAAATTTCAGGAAAATTTGTCTCACTAACGATGGTTCATGCACTAGCACGTTAACGAATCGTCGTTCTCATCAATCTGCTATATTCAGCCTCACAGTGTGCAACCTGTACGCTGCAAAGCTTTAGAAAACTGTCGGTGTCGATATATTGACTGTTGTTACGTGCTTGCCCAAAAGAATGCAATTAACTGTTCATTGTCGTATGAATAAAGTTCAACAGATAACTGTAATGGCCATGTTTAGTTATGAACTCCCACCACACATCTCTGATTTATTATAGTACATGTTACATGTATGATATAGGTAAAAAATATACAGGTAAATGTGGCGCAATTTGATTCCATTTATTTGCACAATTAATACCATCAGAAAAATAGAGATTGGCGCAATTGATACCTTTTCAAAGCTGTAATTTGCGCAAATTGATTCTGCCCATACTTTAAATCTTGTTTTCCACGATCGATGTATACAAGTTTGTATTACATGTAACAGTGGAGTATAAATTAACTATATATGTCAAAAGATATTACTGTTTTGGATGTTATGATGTATTTAATTGACGAAGATTAGATAGACACATAAATACGAAAATATATATAAACTTCTTTACATAATGTTTAATTCAAGTGACTTTAATATTTCTTGTTGGAATTTAAAAAAGAACGAGTTTACGCCATTTGTATAGACAAAATCCCAATAAATCTAGTTCGTTTGACACTAATTATGGTATCAGCAACTAAAAGAGGTGTTTCCACCGACACTAATATTCGGATTATAGTTCTTCATAATCTAATTATGTTCATGTACGACCACGCGAGTTAATATAGGTCTGAATTTTAATCAGATTGTGTTCTTCCATTTATTTAGTCCCATAGTTTTAATCTTCATATGTAGAGTTAACACAACATACTATGAAACCAGTACAGGAAAAGCTCTTTTTGAAAACCTCTTTAATTCCCCGTTTGTCTCTGGTGGATACACGAAGTTGTCTTATTTACAATCGTAATATATCGTTTTTTTTTGGTTTTCATTTAAGGGTTCGTTGTTCGTGCTGTGTAATGCAATAGAATGTGTCCCCATGCTTTTGCTTTCATAATTTACAGCTTGTGTTTGTTTGCTTGTGAAATAGCTGTCCCTTTTCAAATCTAATTTTCACATGTGTGCCATTTGTATACATTTATTACCGTGACACACTCGTCATTTGGTCTTTGGTCTCTGGTCAATAGTTATCTCATTGACAATCAGACCACACCTCCTTATTTCTATATGCGAATGGCCAATAATTTAAAATGAGGGGCACTCCAGATGCAACCATAAGATTAATATTCTAATGCATGCATTTTTTTCTGCTTTACAAAAAAATTAAAAAACCTGACATCTGTACTATATTGTTAAAAATCCGAAGGTTGGGGCAAGGTTGGTTTTTAAGCTACAATGAGAGGATGTACCGGGCGTAGGAACACCTTTTGAAATGCCATAGAAATTTCATTTTCAGACTTCTACCTCAAAACGTGGTTGTTCCAAATACATTTCGCTATTGATACTTGACGTCACACTCGACTAAGTGGCCAAAAAAAACCTGCACAATTACGGACAATAAATTAAAAATCTGCATATTTACTGACAAGAAAACCCTGCACAATTACGGACAATAAAATCCTAGAAGTTCACAGTTACCGGCTAGAAAAAAAACCCTGCATAAACATGGTTATTGTAAGATTTGCCATATGCATTGATATGGATTAAGAAATGGTTATAGCTGCAGTGACATTTCATATCCAAGCAAAATAAGATGTTCAGCTTTCAAAGAATCACCATTCAAAGAGAAACATGTATATTTAAGGCAATGTTTACTTGTATTTTAAACTGTGTGACATTCCTTGATCTGGTGCAAACATTTTTAATGGAATTTGTATCTCTGGATTTATAAATGATACATACCGGTATTTATTTTTCGATATTCATCTGTTGTTCAATGAGCTCTACATGTAAATGGAGACAAATTTCATAAAATCCAGAAATACCGGTAATCTATCGAGGACAATAACACTGTCTCCAATAATTAAAAATATTGGGTCAAATACGACAAAATACATCTCAATGACCTCATAGTCACGAAAAGGAAAAATTATGTCATTGAACAGATGTATTGCAATAAAAAATATTCCGTATCCGCAAATGATATAAAACGGTTTATATTTCTGTTTTTTTTTTCGAAGTTTGAGGACAAGTTCTATCCAACATTCTACCTACAAGGAATATTTATTGATTTCGGTTTCAAACTCCAGAAGCGTTAAAAATAATGACCTCCTTGTCACCCTGAAGATAAGTCACACCGGTTCAATATGTAGAACATTTTGCATTCTCATAGAAGTTTAATTTGTCATCGCTATTTGTGTACAATGATAGGTGAACGTCAAATGGGTCGGTATCTTTTGCCGATGATTTGTTTTGTTTATCTTGCTAAAACAGGTATGTATAATTGTAATTAGTAAACGTAGAAGATAAGTATGATTATATAAGAGGAGATGTCGGATATATATGTCAACAAGACAACAACCTTAACGTAAGTCGTCATGCATTCCCGGTCATATTTTAAACTGTCGTAAATTAGTATTAATCAAATAAAGCTATATTATAAGGATGAACTTGTGGTAGCTGATGCCTTTTAGAATATAGAGACATATTTAATAGTGTCAGACCACGGTTTTACTAATGTCATAAAGTGAATCAGTGTCATTTTAGATTTTAGACTATTTTTAACGAAGTATCAAAGTGAATAACTTTTAATATCGTCCGTGTACAATAAGCCCATCGTATTTTAATATATGCAATTGCGTTTTATACTGGGAAATAACAAAGTGATTTTAGCTGTATAAGTCCGTGTAATATAAGCCCATTGTGTATAATCAAGAAATTGATGTGCTCCTAACCACAGGAGGAAGTTACTGAAAGAAGAAGAAGACTTGTCTGCTTAAAAAAATCCAAGCTCCGATTGTGTTGCCAAAAAGCAACGAACATTAATCAATAATGTCTCGATTCCCAATTGGAAAGGACTGTGAATATGTATATTCTATATATATTATTCTGGAAAAAACGTTGCTTATATATTTGTGATAATATCAAACTAGAGTATGGGTACAATATAGATTACCTGAACTACATATCCGTATAATTACTCCATTTTATCCAATCATCTCATCAATGACCGCTTTTGTTCTCTTTTTCTTTTATTTATGTCTATTGAAAATTGAAATTAATAGCAAATCTTTTTATAGTTTCCGTTGAAGTAATTTACAACTGTCATCATTCCGCTGACCTAGAGCTTCATTTTTTTAGAAAATATATCCTCATGGCTTGCGAGTGATGTTTTTGGCACATGTTTGTGCAACTGCGTGCTACAGCTATATAATGTATAGGAGGCTGTGAAAAATCACCAACTATTTTTTTTTTATATATTATATGGTTTGTTTTATTTCAGCGAGTGGTGCCAATGGCTGTCAAAATGGGTGGGAATCTTTCAAAGACAAATGCTTTCTGTTCTCAGAAGATCAGAAATCTTGGGGTGATGCAAAGGTATTAAAATCTTTTTAATATATACAAATCAGAAGATGATTGCTAATGACACAACTCTCCACCAGAGACCAAATGACGTAGAAGTTAACAACTATATATATAGGTCACCGTACGGTCTTCAACAATGAGCAAAACCCATACCGCATAGTCAGCTTTAAAAGGCCCCGAAATATTTCGACAAATGTAGAACAATTCAAACGGGTAAACCAACGGCCTGATTTATGTTAAAAAACAGCAACAAACGACAATCACTGAATTAGAGTTTTTTTTTTTTGGCTTACTCATAGCTAACGAAGACACGTAAAAACAAGCTGGCGTAGATCGATGTATATTAAAGTCATTTTAGCATATGGTAGCACCGACGTTTACAAAAGTTATCATAACATATGACCACACATAGGTTATTACTATGTAATGGGTAGTAGGGTAGGGAAGAGCTGCTCGAATAGGTCACCATTACCATAAGGTCGAGAAATTAAGATGAAACATATGACAAGGTTGCTGATTAAGTCATATTAAGTATAGAACACTATTTGTTCACAGATGTCACGAAAACCACTCTCGTAAATGCAACAGATAATTGTCAAAACTATTTATAACTCTGTCAAATAGCGTGATCATGATAGCTATAAGTATATTTTTTGTCAAAAAATATATTATATTTAGGTATGTACTTTTGTTTTTCAAAATATATGAAAAGGGTTGGATATTTAATACCTCAGCTGCCCACTTTTACCACAAACGGATAAAACCATTTAACCTTTGAAAACAAAGTAAAAACAAAAATACCGAACTCCAAGGTAAATTAAAAAATGGGAAGTTCATTAGACCTAACAAAATCAAACGTTTGACTATATCAACCAACCGAACGAATAGAAAACAACTGTCATCATCCTGACTTGGTACAGAAATTTTCCGAAGAAAATGGTGGGTTGAACGGGGTTTATAGCTAGCTAAACCTCCCGGTTGTATGACATTTGTTTATAGTTCCGTTATATTGACAAAATAAGGTGAGTAACCCAAACAGACAATAATATGGAACTAAGTGCAAAGAGCAGGGGTTCAAATTAACATTTGGTACTGGAAGGTCCAGGACCTTTGACACTCCAAACTGAAAGGTCCACAACCTAAATTCCAGGTCCTATTTTTACTTGAAATATTTCCTAACATAGTAAGATACAAGTAACAAAATTAATGTGCTGTTGGTGTTAGGTCAACTTGTTTCATTGTCAAAGTCACTGTTGTATAAAATATTTAATAACAATTGTAATTGTCTTGTATATTATAAATTCAGATAATCATTTTTTTTGTTATTGAGGAGGGTGTCACCATGGGTGGGTGTCTTGTCTCAACTATTGGTAATTTATTACTACTTAGTACTTAAACCTTTTTATAAAACAGTTCAAATTCAAAGCTCTTTAAGCAGAGACGTATATACATGTGTATATATGTCTCTGGTTTAAGTGTATCATATCTAGTTGCACTATTATAATGCATTAGTTCCTCTGTGAAAATAAGATAAGAAACTTCCAGATTTGTACTGGTCCTTTAAAATTGAGAAGACATTACCTCTTGGAATTGAAGTAATACGTTTACACTATACAAAAATCTACATGTAATATCAATATTTATTAATGATAAAGAAAATTACTGTCACATTTTTTTGGATTTTGAGATGAAAATTTATGAACTAAAAGTAATTTTGAGTTTCTGTAAAAAAATATTTCCTACTTTTTCTTTCTTTTCAATATATCTTTTGGTTTTCAATTCTAGTGTTTATATTTTATCATCATAGATGTATTTTGTCAACTGCCTGGAATTATTATTTTTTCATTGTATTTGATCGGCAAACCCGGAATTACCCTTATCCGCTCGGAATCGGTTCCTTTTTTTGTTATTTTCTTAATTTCCGGTTTTTATGGCATCCCATGTTTTTCAATGTTGTTTTGTCAGTCAGATACGATTTTACTCGGATTTACACATTACTAGTTGGCAATTTTCGGTATAAAGCTAGCGGTTGAACAAAATGAACAGCGCTGTCATGAATAATAATGATGAAAATAAATTTTGAGATTGTTTGGAAATTTTTGTTTAAAAAGGTCGGCAAAGATTATTTTTATTTTCTTTCAAACCGAAAGTCCGTCGAGCGTAGCTTGTAACCAAAACGAGAGTCCGACTGCAAAAATGGAAGGTCGCGGACCTCGGACCACCGCTAATTTGAACCCCTGAAGAGAAAGCGGAGTGGTTGGTATGGCAATGCACATGTATAATCTAGGCAGGATAATTTTTTTTTTTAACTTCAGTAAGATTTTTTTTTATATATATTTCTATAGATAGTATTATACATTGCATTCTTATTTCAAAACACAAAACAGAAGACCAAAAATACCAAGAACGACACAAACAAATTCAATTTGAGGCTGCTACTTTGGCTGTTCTTCACAGTTCAATTACGAATTCCATACTGCAAACATCATTATCATCAATGTTTCTTTTTATTTCCAGAGCCATTGTAAATCCCTAGGAGCACAATTAGCAGAACTGAAAGACTTTGACACAAATGAATTTGCAAAACATTTTCTCAATCTCAAGTACCTTTTTCATGATGGTGAGAAATATTTGAAATAGTACACTAAGTCTTTATATTGATATTTTTCATCAACCGTCTACGATTCTTAAACTATCTTGTGAGCTGGTCCCTGTATAGCAAGCGGAGTCCCTGTCTAAGGAAAGTAAAAGATGAACATGACGACAATGTATGAGAAAGTCAATTTCTTAGAAGTGCTCTTTTTAGAATTGATGAATTTTATATCAATAATGAAATGTATACCAAGGCAGGAACCTGTAATTCAGTGGTTGTCGTTTTTTGCTGTATATCATATTTGTTTATCTTTTATTGTTTTGTACACAAACCAGGCCTTAAGTTTTCTCGTTTGAATGGTTTTACATTTGTCAAATCGGGATGGTTTCAAAATTGCTATGTGGTATATGTTTTGCTCATTGCTGAAGGTCGTACGATGACCTGTAGTTGCTAACTTCTACGTCATTTAGTTTCTAGTGAAGAGTATACACGTCGCAATCTTCAAAATCGCTTATCTAAATACACTACAATCGCTAATATTTTTACAAATAGTAGCCCTTTGTTAATTTATGTTATCATTGCCATGTTGCTTACTAGTCTCTTCTGTTACCTATTTTAACATAGGACTCGGACTTCTTTTAAACTGAGTTTTGTTGTGCGTATTGCTGTGTGTTTCTTCTACACGGACTAGAAGTATAGGAGAGGGCTGAGATCTCACAAAACGTGTTTAACCCCGCCTCATTTTTGCGCCTGTCCCAAGTCAGGAACCTCTGGCAAATATTTATGTTTAGGGGCCAGCTGAAGCCCGCCTCTGGGTGCGGGATTTTCTCGCTGTGTTGAAGACCCATTGATGGTCTTTGGCTGTTCGCTACTCTTTGGTCTGGTTGTTATCTCTTTGACACCTTCCCCGTTTCCATTCTCATTTTGATCAGATATACCTTCGCTCATCTTTGACATGTTCCTAGTTAATCGGAAACGGTTGAATAGTCTAAAAGACACAGAATAGTACACGAAAGGTCAAACTTAGTTTGTCAAAACTATTAAAATGCATTTTAATATGTAAGTGCAAATTAAACCGAATTATGAATGAGAGCGTCATCGTCTTCGCATTTATACTTCTGTTTTCTGTCCGTCTTCTTAAAAGACGTAATAAATTGATGTGGACAAAAGAAAACTGTTAAAACGCATTTCAAAACCATGACACAATACCCACAAGACAAACACAAGACAAAGATCCAGCGCTTTCATTGGGTCCGGATTGGGTCCTTTATTTCTTTATTATTGAATTGTTTAGACTTATTTATTCTCTATTCTTAATATTTTGCACCCCATTATTCTCTATTCTTTATATTATGCATTCCATAATTCTTTATTCTCTATATTGTGCAACCAATTATTTACTCTTTATTCTTTTTATTTTTGCACCCCATTATTCTCTATCCCTTATTTTTGCACCCCATTATTTTCTATTCCTTATTTTATGCACCCAATTATTCTCTATTATTTATAGTATATACCCTTTATTCTGCACTCCTTGCCCATTATTCTGCAGTTTATGTCCATTATTCTCTATTATTTATTGTTTAATATGTTCTTTATTCTGCATTTGTTGCCCATTATTCTCTATTCTTTATTGTCTATGTCCCATATTCTGCACTTTTTGTCCATTCTTCTGCAATCTCTGGATTTCAATATGAGTATGTTTAGATCAAGAATCGTATACAAGAGACGAATTCAAATTTGAATATTATTTCATTATTATGATCTGGTTGCACATGTATCAAACGGTTGCAATGGACGGAATTTAAAGTAAATCCTTAAACAAGATATTCTCTCATCGTCCAATTACAATCACCAACAGTACAGAACCTTATAACCAACTATTGAGTTGTTGTCCTTTATTACTTCCCCTTAGACAGATGTGTCTTATTATATATGAGGGTCTGCATTCTTTATTTTTTAGGCCATTTTTCCCTATTCGTTATACATTTTCGTCTTGCGATTCTTCATGTACAATCGACAAGAAAGATATCCGATCTGCAAAAATGCCAACAAAAGGGGATTACAATTATTTAACAACCACGTGTGTAGAACATATTTATGTTCTGATAAAAAATTCATCTGCTTTTAAGTAGGTAAGTCTTGTTTAATGAGGGACGCATTTTGCTAATCGCATCATTCTGGAATATTTAGTGAATGTCCTGCGTGAGCTTTGATTTGTTTGTCAAAACCCGTACAAAATAAGTAGTAGGATTCCACCTAGAAACTAGTAGGAATGTAGTAGGAATCTACCTAGAATCAAAAATTATATATAGAAAGTAGGCGGACAGGGAAAATGAACAAAATTCTGACTGGATTTTTTTTATATTCCCGCTAGCAAAATCCTAATTTGTAGCTGGAATTTTTAAAGGCTGTATGGATTTTTTCCTGTTTTGAAAATCTTTAGTGGGAAAAAATATGATTAGATTATTCATTTTTCCTACTACAAGATTCCTACCAGAATTAATATATTCCTACCAGATAATCTTTCTATTTGGAATCTTTTTAAGTATCTGAAACTGGATTCCTGTTTGCTAATGACACACATTTTGCTGTGTTTAATGCAACCAAGTTGGGGGGGGGGGGGGGGGGGGGGGGGGGAAATAATGAAAAGTTGTGTTGAAACACAGTGCTGCAAGGTTCAAACAACTACAATATAGAATGTTAGAAAATATGGCTCATGTAGACTGAAGGTAATTTTAATATTTTTAAGTGAAATTTGTTATATGTCTGCCAAATATATTGAGTAATCAATTAAACAATAGTGCATAATTTTACTCATCATTTGTTCATAACTCTTCGCAACATGTTTGCTAATCTACAAGAACATGTACAATTTCTAGCTTGCATATATTGCAGTTTCCTCATACATTTCAAAAGTCCATTTTTTTTAAAAATGAATATATTCCATGCATTTCCTTTGTTCTTTGTAGTTAAGATTCAAACTTAATTGATTGACCCAGTTGTGTATTTGTTAATCTACACTTACATTTTGTGTATTTTTAGATTCCTACTAGAACATTATTTTCTGGGTGGAATTTTGAAAAATTCCTACCAGGTTTTCTAGTAGGAATTTTATTTTTCTGCCAAATTATTCCTGCTAATTTGCATATTCCAGGTAGGAATATACAATAGGTATTACTACTAAGAAATTCCTGCTAATTTAGATAATTCGGCTATTTTCTGTGTGGATTCCTACTACTGTCTGACTAGAATATAACTCTTTTCTGGTAGGAATTCAATGCAATATTCCTAGTATATTCCGTGTACTTTCTGTGTGGAATATTTCATACAGGAAAGTTGAGATTATTATAACTGCTTATAATTTCAAACTATATGACGTATAATGATTACTTTTGAAATAACTTAATTATACAAAACTGTTAGTTTGTCAGTTAAAACTAGTCAAAGACACTTGGCCTATAATTTAGTATGTCAGACGCGCGTTTTGTCTACATCAGAATCGTCAGTGACACTCGAATCAAAACAGTTGGATAGGTAAATTAAATACGAAGTTGAAGAGCATTAAAAGCGAACATTCCGAAAAGTTAGACAAAAGCCGTCTATGAAGATCAATTTGATTGGCTAAATGACATAGACTAAACACAAGTAACACATGTCATGCATGTAGCTAGAAATTATAGCAAAACATATCAATGACAAAAAATAACAATTATCCAATACATTATTTTTCTAGAACAAACAAGACACAATTTTTTCATCGGTTTATCGGACCAAGACCATACAAATATTTGGAAATGGGCCAGAAGTGGTGAAACAGTTGATTTTACCGACTGGACCTCCGGTGAACCTTCAGGAGGAACAGAACATTGTACTGTTTTATGGGGATACATTGGTTATTGGTGGAATGATGAAGAATGTCAAAAGAAATTCCAGTATATTTGTGAAGCTGATAAGACATTGCCTGTTGTTGGAAAATGATAAGAAAACTTTTGTCCGCTTTGTTTATTTATTGTTTAAATAAGTTTTTTCCGTTCACAAAATCGTGAAGAGTTAACAAAAATAATTAATAAAACGTCAATTAAATTTCACAACCAGGACATGGTTAACTGCAACTAATAATGAAAGAAAATAAAACTATAAAGTTCATGCGTCCGATTTCTGTTTCACCTTCATAAGGAACGCACAAACATTAAGATTTGAAAAGCCAGACACTTATGTTTGGAGCTAAACAACCAAAAAAATAGATCTTAAGGATGTTCGCTACTCTATTTCAAAATAACAACCTTTTCAAAAGACTGTTTTAAATTAATAGTTTTTAAATAAAGAAACTAAAAAAGCAGAAAAAAATGAAGGGTCCGTGTGCTTGTTTTCGAGATATAAGCCATTGAAAAATTTGGCGGGAAATAATTCTTCCTAGGCTTTTCATACATTAAACATTGGCACCCTTTTTCTTTCAAAAATTATGAAAAAATAACAAGGATTTAATTGCATTTTTTCATGTTTTTTTTTAAATATAATTATGTAATAAAATTATGAAAAGAAAAGTAGGGGTTAGCGGGGAATTTTTTTTAATGGCACTACATGGATAAAATCAGAGGATTCCGAATATCTGGCAAAAATTCAAAAACAAGAGGAGCGAACATCCTTAATATGATAGTCAAATACATCTATGGTCATCTATGAGATTTGACCAGTTTGAAATGAATTTGTTTTAATCACGAGATCAAAATCCTGAAGAAGATGACACTAATCAAGTGCAAAATTAATATACTTTTGATTTGTTTTTAAATTGTCAACATATCTACATAAATATACAAAAAAGACATTTAGAATTCTGCGCTTTCAATTGTTGTTTAGGACATTTTATAAACAAAATTGCAAATTTTGGGTAATCATCTCCAATGTTTTCCTGGGTTTATCATACAGCTTTCCTGACTATCGTACCGCAGCACAAAAAATTCACAACTTTTATAGACCCAGGACGTTTAGAGCTTGAAATAATGTTTAAACATATGTAAAATATTGAAAACTGTAGGTTGCTCTCTAGATGTCTTTTGGTTAAGTTTGCTGTCTTATTGACGCATACCACATACATGTATGTCCTTGTATCCTTGCTATACATGTTTTCACTGTGTTAAATGGTTTCTGTCATATTAAAACTTGACATCAGTTTGTTTGACATTTTACCATTTTAAGAAAAACAGGTATCTTTGTGATATATCGACATCTTTTGTTGATTTTGAAAGGCATCGTGGTTTGATTAAAATATAACAAAGCAATGGTATATAAAAAAGTTTTCTTTTGTAATAATGTAGATAGGTATTATACATCAATGTTATAGGCAAAAAAAGTATACAAAAGAAAAAGACTTCTAGAGTTTTTTTTATTATAAAATACAGAAATAAACAAAAGTTGTAATTAAGATTTCTCTCTCAAAACTCATAGTCGTCCTCAATATGTATGAAATATTTGCCACTGGACGTTTAAGGACCAAGAATCAATCAATCAAAACTCATAGCGAGGGAAACAGTTTGCAGTTTCCGATCAAAGTCTACTTTTGTGTTTCCCACTGTGTGCAGAACTAACCATCAAGGTGGCTTGTGCCTCCAAATTCAAATCGGTTAAAGAATTTATTGATGCGATGAAGGCTGTATGTTTATCGTGAAAAACCTTAAATACACAAAAAAAAAAAAAAAAAAAAAAAAAACACAAAAAACACGTGATTTATTATCGTGAAAATTTAGGTTTATAATGAACTTGTCATTGAGTACATAAACATTCCTATCTACAATGTGACCTTTTCGATACGATTTTCATTATGAGAAATAAAAGGACGTACGAGGGCAACACAGTGTGACTGAGGTTGGGCACATTTTCAAACAGAGAAATATTATCGTTCCAAATGGGATTCTTAACAATAAAATGAGAAAATATTTCCTGTATCGATAATTGAAATGAAGTTTTGTCCGTGTTTCTTTTTGCTTGTATCGGCCTAGTGTCTGTTTACGAGGTATGCTTTCCGTTAGATCTATATATTTGTCCAGTGAAGGGTCAAGAGTAATAAACAATTATCATCTTATCGCAACTACATTTTTCATTTACTGTAATATGTAGTTGCGATCTGATGTGAATCAATTAAATAATAAAAAAAATAATTGTCTTACACTATGTTTTCTTTATTTTGTTTTGTTTTGATTTTTTTCTTTATTATGTTGGAAAATGTTGAACGTAAATATTCCATTTATTCTTGGCGCCGTGATCGGCAAATAAAATATTTGCCTGTTTTTTTTTTGTTTTTTTTTTTGTTTGTTTGTTTGTTTTTTTTTTTTTTCATCGGTTTTGCTATAGTTGTCTTATCATGACAAAATATCGTCATGATTAAACGTTTGACCAATATAGTCATAACATTAATACAACTAAATGTAAATAGGTCAGTCGAACTTTAATTCCTTTTATCTATAAATTGTAGTAAGCATTGCCCAATACAGACATTGTTGCAAATTTACAACGATTTTCGGAAAGTTATTTAAGTTTAAAACAATTCTTATCCGTTAAGTACTTTTGGAGGTGACTATACTGAAATATTGCCTTGGTGCAAAGACCTTTGTATGAAAAACCTAGGTTTTACAGTGAACCAATAAACACAGAATTGTCATTTCATTTCTAATTCTTTGTTTTACTTCCATGAAATGTGACTTTCATTTGTTTTTACACCATTTATTTTTCTTTGCAAACATTAAAATTGAAAACAAAACAAAAAAATCAATGAGACTTAATACCGAAAGTATACTTACCATATGAGCAACTCGACGGATGCCAAAAGGGAAGCAGGGTCTTCTTACTATTCCGGGACACCACAGATCATCCCCAGTTTTTGATGGGGTTCTTGTTGGTCTTTTGTTTATTATGAAGTGTTTGTACACAGTCTTTGTTTCGACGTTTTTGTTTTATTTTCCCATGGTTCTGTCGGTTTATCTTCCATTGATGAGTTTTACTTCACCCTTTGGTATCAATGGCCTCTTTTTAAGGCCGTAATTGCCCATTTGCTATATAAGGGAAATGTCAGAGAAATCGAGATAATTACCTCATGACTATTTTAACTTCAGAGAAAACGAAGTATTTGCCTCATTACAATGTAAAGAAAAGTCAGAGATCGAGATAATTTTCTCATTACAATTTAAGTAATAGTGCATGTACAATGTAGATGCCTCGTTACCATGTAAATAAAACGTCAGGGAGGTCGAGGTATGTCTCATTTCCATATACAGAAACGCCAGAGAGATAGAGGTTATTTTCTTATATCTGTGTAAAAGAAAACGTCCCAGATACCGAGATAATTATCTCTTTACAATGTAACGAAAAAGTCCGAGAGATAGAGGTAATTGTCTTATTTATATATAAAGAAAACTTCAGAAAGATAGAGGTAATTGTCTCATTCTCATTATAAGGCCACACCAATTTGATTTTTAGTTCTTCGGACAAAAGCTCCAAAAAATATGGGGCGAGCGAGCGAAATTTTTTTGATTGTATTTATTTCTTGAAATGAGTTTTGTTGAGACGGGTGCTCTACAAGTGGAGCTAGCGGTATAATTTTTTTTTAAATTGTGCGATTGTACATGTTAAAACTGGGTTACTTCAAAGAATAAAATGCTCCGCTGAGCGCAGCTTGATACGACCGCAGAGGTCGAACCCTGAACAGTTAGGGCAAGTATGGACACAACATTCAAGCTTGATACAGCACTGAATTTGGATTGTGATTAAATATTTGACACAGCATAGGTTTCTGACACAGAATGAATGTGGTCTCAGAACTTAAATTTTTTTAATTTACCTATTCAAACCATATCATTATTATTATTTGCTTTTATATATAAATCAGAAATAACCAATTTAAAACAGAAAATTTTAAAGAAAAAAAAAGGAAAAAAAGGAAGAAAAAAATCCCTCCCCTAAATTTTTTGAACCCCCTTATGATTCATCACCCCCAAACTCAATCCCAGCCTTCCCTTTGTGGTATGGTACCTTGCAGTACAATTTCAGAGAGATCCATACACTTGATCACAAGTTATTGTCTGGAAACTAGAAAAATGCTTGTTTTTAGGCCCCTTTTTGGCCCCAAATTCCTATACGTTTAAGGCAATTAACCCCCAAACTCAAACCCAGCTTTCCCTTTGTGATATGGAACCTTGTTTTACAATTTCATAAAAATCCATACACTAACACACAAGTTATTATCATGAAACTAGAAAAATGCTTGTTTTTTTGCCCCTTTTTTGGCCCCTAATTCCTAAAATTTTGAGGCAATTACCCCCAAAATCAATCCCAGCCTTCCCCTTGTGGTATGGTACCTTGCAGTACAATTTCAGAGAGATCCATACACTTGAACATAAGTTATTGTCTGGAAACTAAAAAAATGCTTATTTTTGCCCTCTTTTTGGCCCCTTATTCCTAAACGTTTTGAGCAATTACCCCCAAACTCAATTCCAGCTTTTCCTTTGTGATATGGAACCTTGTAGTACAATTTCAGAAAGATCCATACACTTACACACAAGTTATTATCTTGAAACTAGAAAAATGCTTGTTTTTTGCCCCTTTTTTGGCCCCTAATTCCTAAAATTTTGAGGCAATTACCCCCAAAATCAATCCCAGCATTCCCTTTGTGATATGGAACCTTGTGGTACAATGTCAGAGAGATCCATACACTAACACACAAGTTATGTCTGGAAGTTACAAACATGCTTATTTTTGGCCACTTTTTGGCCCCTAATTCCTTAACTGTTGGTACCATAACCCCCAAAATCAATCCCAACCTTCCTTTTGTAGTATTAAACCTTATGGTAAAATTTCATAGAGATCCATTCACTTAAACTAAAGTTAGAGTGCGAAAACCAATGTGTCTTCGGACGACGACGCAGGACGACGACGACTACGACGACGAGACGCCAACGTCATACCAATATACGACCGCAAAATGTTTTTGCGGTCGTATAAAAAGGAGGATAAACATGCTCTTATGTATATAATTTAAGTTGATGTATTTGTGCCTGTAGTACAGTCTGTACCATACCCAACCTTTTGGTTCGCTTTGGTTTAGTATAATTTTGATTATTTTCGTCAAATAAGCTTTGACTGCGTGAATTTTCATTTAAATTCATACATGTGTATATATTAAGGAAGCATATCAGATGCAGTTTAGCAAGAGGAATTATGTTAGTTGGGTAAATGAAATGTGTTGAATACAATTAAAATATGTGTATGTATTCCAAAAAAATGCCCATGAATAATATTAAATATCTTTTGATATAGTTGTTTTCATTATATGGTAATGATTGTTTATTGGCTGCTTGACATCCAGTTGGAACTATTTATCAGTAATAGGATCAACATAGTGAGTGAGGTGAATATTTCAACAACATCCTGAGTAAGATAATTATATTGCTATGCATGCAGATCTCAATGTATTAAAACATTTAATCCCGCTGCAAATGTTTGCACCTGTCCTAAGTCAGGAATCTGATGTACAGTAGTTGTCGTCTGTTTATGTAGTTCATACGTGTTTCTCGTTTCTCGTTTTTATATAGATAAGACCGCTGGTTTTCCCGTTTGAATGGTTTTACACTAGTAATTTTTGGGGCCCTTTATAGCTTGCTGTTCGGTGTGAGCCAAGGCTCCGTGTTGAAGGCCGTACCTTGACCTATAATGGTTTACTTTTATAAATTGTTACTTGGATGGAGAGTTGTCTCATTGGCACTCATACCACATCTTCCTATATCTATTCCCTTAAAATACATTTAACCATATTCACATGCATATTCTGACTTAGCAAAATACTTTTTCCTTTTGCCCCTGAAACCTGCAATTAATGTATTTCAAACTGGAAGTGGTTGCACCAATAACACATACCTAATTATTATTAGCAGGCCATCCCAATACCACCACTTTGGTCTCGTATGTTGGAACTCTTAAATTTTCCCTTACTAAAGAGTTCTGATTGCATGTCAATAGACTAACAAGGGGATATGGAGTTTTCATTAAAATAAGATAAATCTGTCATTTTTTCAAAAATTCATGTGAATTTAATATTAATTTCATCCAAGACAGATAGCTCTAGATACCAATGTCTGTTGTAGTCCGAGATTACTCTGACGTCCAACGGCTGTTTTGCCAGTCAAGCTCGGGCCGTGGGACAACAGCCCCCGCAACAGCCCCCCCCCCCCCCCCCCCCCCATCTTGTCTGGCAAACAGCTGTTGGACGTCGGAGTAATCTCGGACTATGTCTGTTGAAACAATGATCGGGGATGACAATGGTTCTAACACGTACTGATGTGATCGTGGTCATCTAACGAAAGATTTTTTTTATTTTTGTCTCCTAGAACAGGTAAAACGAAATGCATTTCAAATAACTGTGTGTTTAATAACTACGTGTCCTCTGCAATGATCTGACACAACTTCATGTTGGCATCCCGATTTTTGACCTTTTATTTACAAATCGATTTATCACACGTGCGTTTGAATCGCTCGGAGCAATATATGCACGAGAAAAACGTCTAAGAGAAAACAAAATGTCAAGGATAAACTAATTTTGGAGCGGCATTCGGCCCAAAAATTGGCGGAAGCGGTAATTATTTTTTTTTTATTGAAAAGTCAATTTCTCCAAAACAGGAGTGGGAAAATCCAAAGAACTATTAATCAAATTGGTGTGGCTTAATGTAACGAAA